AGTAGAAAAGAGGTGTTTGATCTAATTAAGTTCAGAGCTCTTCAATGGATTAAGGTTAAGGTGTTGAATGGCTTAACACAAGAACTTTGGTATAGAATTCCCAGGGATGTGGTTAAAATGCTTTAAGAGTTTGGTTGTTCCTATTAGTCTCTTCAATGGATTAAGGCCGAGGAATGGAATGGCTCGACACAAGAACTTTGGTATAGAACTCTCAGGGATGTGGTTAAAGTGCTTAACTCATAAGAATTTGGTTGTTTTTATTAGTCTTCAGTTTTTTGTTCAGGGGCTAACATGATGTTTGGTTGGATAATATGCTCTGTGTTTGTTCTCATGTGAACCTTTGTTTTTTTTTCTTTTTGTAAAAGGTGAAAACACTCTTTGTACTTTAATTAATAATATATTTCTTTATTGATTAAAAAAATAAAATAAGACAATGGCAAATTGTAAAATCCAAAAGTTCTCATCATTTAATTATTTATAATAGATTTTCATGTTGGTACCCCGAATTTTAATTTCCCGCAACACCAAATTCAGCTTCCTCAGCACATTTGTCCCAAGCTAGCTTACCTTTGGCAACATAAAGATGCGCATATTTGCTAAATTGAGGAAACGAAGCAAGCTTCTCCACTAATCTATTGTGACAATTTGGTCCTGCCAACTGTAATTTGCGACAACAATCCGTTGAGACTTTCCAGTCCTTCTCGAAAAATATAAAGTTTACAATAATTTCGGCACACGTCTCTGTTATTTTCATTCCACATGCTGTTAAGTATTTCTTCTCCTCAGGCGAGAGTTTTGGTGGCGATTCAGGCGAAGAAGCTGGACTTCCTTCGTCAACTTTTGATTCGGGGGCAATGGCTTCGACTACCACCTTATTAGCCAAAGAAAAGATCACTAGGAGGGTGATGATTTTGAATGCTGTCATTTTTTTCTTATTCTTTCTTTGGCTAGTGTAAAGATGGATTTTCCTCGGAGCGAGTTGGAATGTAGCGTAGAAGGTGTAAATATAGGAGCATTGGAGGCTGAAATTAAGCTTAAGCCCTCGAACTTAAGAGCTTGTTAATTTTAAGCTTTTGAAGTGAAAACAGCGTCATTTAATCCTTGAATTACACAAATGCATCAAATTGGCCCCTTATTAACGGCAAAATAGGGATTGATGTTAAGTAGACCGTGCCTTTTAAATACATGGTATTAGTGGTGGGGTTTTGGATACGTGGAGGCTAAGTTGGTATTGATTGCATGCATAATGGTAAAACAAACAAATAAGTAATGAGTTTATGACTATGTCAAATTGTATAACAACAAAACTATGTATTAAAAGCTTGTAAGTAAAACCCCAATTATGCAATTTGGGAATTTCTAAGTTACCTATGAATTAGTGATTGATTTGTTGTTTCTTTGCCTGTTTTACCATTTTGTGACCGACAATGCCAACTTAGCCTCCACGTGGGGTTCAAAAGCCCACCATTGATGCCATGTATTTAAGCTATGGTCTAGTTAGCATTAATGAAATGAGCTATGGATGATACATTATGACATTTGCTGTTTTGCTATCAATAAAGGACTAATTTGATACATTCATGTAGTTTAAAGGCTTAAATAATACTTTTTAATTTAAAAGTTTATAATTAACAACTTCTTAAATTTTAAGGGTTGCACTTAATTTCAGCCGAGCATGGGATTGTGATGTTTTGGAGACGTTTACTTTTCCTACACTATAAAAAACGTAAAGCGTTCATCTCAAAAAAAAAAAAGAAAAAACGCAAAGCATTTATTTCATTATTTTTATTATGCTAGGAGACATTCCACTGCCTTTGCAATTTTAAAAAAAAAATTGAATTTCTTTACTTTGAAAGAAAACGACAGAAGGGAGGATAATAAAGAGATATAATTTTCATTTATTTCCACCATTACTTTTTCTTTTATTTGTTTAAATTAAAATATAAAAAAATTAAAACAAAATAAAGAAAGACCTCTTCTCTTTATCCTCTTCTTTAATTTTTTGTTATATAAATAGAAAACTTTTTCTTTCTCCTTTTCCCTTCCTTCCTTCAAACCGATCAACTTATTAAATTATGTCGAGTGTGGGAAACGTTTTTATCTCTTTTATTGCCTTTTGCAATTGGAAAAATCATTTTTCGTTAGAGAACAAAACAATTAAACATAAAACGAAATTGGAAAAGAATTCTCTTTTTTTTTTTTATATTAATCTCTCTCTCAGTATTTAATAATTACATTAAATTTCGACTAATTTGAAATCGAATTACGTCGGATCTCATTAAAAGAAAATTCTCCTAATGCATGTTTTTTCATTCAAGAAATACGAATTTAAAATTTTATTTAAAAGAAATTAAACTTTTTTCATTCAAACCAACTTAACGTATTATTAATAAAAAAAAGAATTCTTTAAATCAATAAAAATCTTATATGGACACCCGTATACAAAATCCATAAAAATTTACAATGACTGGGCTGCTGGGCCAACCGAAGCACCGAGATGTTACGCAACGTGTGTGGCCTTTTTTTTGGGTTGGCAGCCGGAATATGTTGATCGTAGAACAAAGCTTCAAGAATTCAGTTTTGGGAACCGGAGAAAGCCCAATCCATAGCTTCAAAAGAGAAAGTCCCAAGTTCTGTTTTGTGCAATGCAACTTCAAGCTCAACATTTGGAAATGAAAAAAAATTAAAATGAATACTGGCCTAACTAAGAAGCATAGGTTGACTGTGGACACAGCGTTTCAGGTGCTGGTTAGAAAGCTGTGGTTTAATGAACATGGAATCATTAGGGTGCAAATTTACTTGGTGCAGACTCAGGAATGGCAAAGTGGTTTTACGTGAGAGGTTAGACCGTGTGCTCTTTAACTCAGGTGCACAAATCCTCTTGCAGGGGGCCAAAGTTTTTACTCTGCCGCGTATTCATAGTGACCATCATCCTATACTACTTGATTTGGACACAGCAGCTTCCCAAATCCCTGTTAACAAACCTTTACGCTTTGAGGCGGCTTGGTTATCAAGAGATGAGTTCCGATCAGTTTTTCACGAGGCCTGGAGTCAACATGCTAGCCAGCTACCAATGGCCATTCACCACACCAAAGAGGCTTGTAACTCGTGGGGCAAGTCTGTTTTTGGAAACATTTTCAAGAAGAAGCGACTGTTGCGAGCTAGGATTACAGGAATTCAGAACTCTCCTCGTTATTATTCTTCTTCGCAGTTACAAGCTTTGGAGCAAGAGCTACTTGATGAATATCAACAAATTCTATATGAAGAGGAATTGCTTTGGTTCCAAAAATCGAGGGTGGATTGGATTGCATCTGGTGATAGGAATACTTCTTTTTATCACTTATCTACCATGGTGAGACGTAGCAAGAACAAAATTGGGGCGCTAAAGATAGGAGGAGAATGGAACATGGACCCTGACGCTCTAAAATCTCATGTAAGAAATTTCTCCATGGAGCTGTTCATTAGCAAGGACACAGCCCCCTCCTCGGAAGATCTCTTTGCTTTTCAGCATACTATACCTATAGAGCAGCATTCGTTATTGATACAGCCAGCCACATTAAAGGAAGTTCGAGCTGCTCTATTTTCGATGAAAGGATTGAAAAGCCCAAGACCAGATGGTATACAGGCACTTTTCTACCAACATCACTGGGATACGGTGTCTAGAACCTTCCTAGATTTTGTGAACCAAGCTCTATTGGAGGGATGTTTTGATCCAGTTCTACCCAGAGCATATGTGGCATTGATCCCCAAAGAAGACTCGCCAGATGTCATTCAAAAGTTTAGGCCTATAAGCCTTTTGAATGTTGCATATAAGGTGCTATCAAAATTGATCGTCAATAGGCTCCGCCCTCATCTTCAGAAGATCGTTGGACCCCACCAGAGTAGCTTTTTAGCTGGCAGAAGTACAGTTGACAATATTATCTTGACCCAAGAAGCAGTTCATTCCATGAAACGGTTGAAGGGTAGGAGAGGTGCCATGGTACTTAAAATTGATCTACATAAGGCTTTTGACAGTATTGATTGGGGATTCTTAAGACAGGTTCTTACTAACTTCAACGTTCCTCAACAGCTTATTAATCTTATCATGTTCGCCGTGACCTCTGTCCAGCTGGAGATTCTGTGGAATGGTGAACCACTACCTTCATTTCGTCCCATGAGGGGGCTAAGACAAGGAGACCCGTTATCACCGTATCTTTTTATTCTAGTGATGGAGAAGCTAGCCCACATGATCCAGAGAAGAGTATTTACCAAGGACTGGAAACCTTATAAGTTGTCTCGTGGGGGTATTGCCCTTTCTCATCTTTTTTATGCTGATGATTTAATGCTTTTTGCGCAAGCTTCAGGAGACCAGTTGCGTATCATTATGGATTGCCTAGACAGATTTGCCAAAAGCTCGGGTTTGACCCTAAATTTACAGAAGTCCAAGCTATTTTTATCACCTAATTTGCAGTCGGCAGTCGCGAGTGCCCTAAGCGCAGCATGTGGTATTCCACTCACCTCTGACTTAGGCACTTATTTGGGCATCCCGATCACCCACGGTCGTCATTCACATAAGAACTATAGGTATATCTTAGAGAAGATGCAACGAAAGTTGGCTGGCTGGAAGAGCTCTAACTTAAGTTTGGCAGGGCGTAAGGTTTTAATTCAGTCAGTAACAGCTGCGATCCCGGCTTATACTATGCAATCAACCTTGCTGCCCAACGCTACTTGTGAGGCCATTGACAAACTAAATAGGAACTTTTTATGGGGCACTGACCAAGGTGCCCATAAACTGCATCTTGTTAATTGGGAGGAGGTTTGCACAGAGAAACAATATGGTGGGCTTGGTTTACAAGCTGCAAGGGATAATAACAAAGCTTTTGTTGCAAAGCTTGGTTGGAGGATTATTAAAGGTGATAATGCTTTATGGTGCAAAGCCATGCGAGACAAATATCTCCGTGGCTCTAAGCTCCTAGAAGCTAGGGGGACCCGAGGCTCATCCTTTCTGTGGCGCGGAGTTTTACAATGTTGTTCTGTGTTACAGCTTGGAATTAAATGGCGGATAGGATCTGGGGAATCAGTTAATTTTTGGACAGATACTTGGGCTAGTCATAAGCCTCTTCTTAATGCTAGTAACGCAGGGGTGTCTCCCAATCTCCTTTCCATGACAGTAGCTGATGCAATCACCCTGGACAAGGAGTGGAATCTGAACACCTTGTATAGCTTAGTCTCGGAGGAAGCAGTTGAGATTATTAGAGCAATCCCTCTATCCAAAAACTTGCAAACTCCGGATAGTATTTTTTGGGATGGCACAACAGATGGCTCCTTTACAGTTAAATCTGCCTACCATCTCATTCAGGCCATGAAAGCTGGTGAAGTGCCTTCCAGAGATACATGGAACTGGATTTGGAAACCTCAATGTGCAGAGAGGATTAGATTTTTTGTGTGGCTACTGGTTTAAGGGAAGAGTGCTTACAAACGCGGTCCGATTTGAACGCCACATCGCTGCATCTCCTGTCTGTCCAAGGTGTGATTGTTCTGTGGAAACGCAACTCCATCTGCTAAGGGACTGTTACTTTGCTAAGATAATCTGGGGCCTTCTTGGTTTTGCAAGACCGGCTTTCTTTTCACTACCGTTTTCTGAGTGGCTCAAAAACTGCTCAGTGCAGTTTCGAACTCCTTCCAACTCCAGCCGACCTAAGGCGGCTTTGTTCCTCTCAGCGATTTGGTTCCTTTGGAAGGACAGAAATGCCCTTGTATTCAGAGCTGTTAGATCAAGACCACAGGATCTATGTTCTACGATTATACAACATGCTAATTATACAGAACTAGCGAAGAATCCTCTGTGCCATGCAAAGCCGCAACTACCACGCTGGATTTGTTGGATACCACCTGCGGAGGGCTTTTGCAAGTTGAATTCGGATGGATCCTATAGCAGTGTTGAGAAAGCTGCTAGCGCCGGCGGCCTAATTCGGGATTCCTTAGGGAATTGGCTCATAGGATTCACAGTCAATATTGGGCATGCTTCTATCTTTACAGCTGAGCTTTGGGGAATGAGAGCAGGACTACGTTTATGCCGTGAGCTGGGGTTCACTAGAGTGATTGCTGAGATGGATTCTCTTATGGCTGTTCGGTTTGTCAATGAGAGAAGAGAGCCAGATAATCTAGCTGCTGCACTCCTGTCAGATATTAGGGACTTGATGGCACAGTTTGAATCTTGCATGTTGCAACACGTCTTACGGGAAGGGAATGCTGCAGCTGATTTTCTTGCTTCCCTTGGACACACATCACCCCCAGGCTTAAGTATCTTAGACTCACCACCGACTGCTATTCGACCTATCCTTTTAGGGGATCAGATGGGGGCTAGTTTCCTCAGACTCTAGTTTTGCTGTTTCTTGGCTTTCTCACTGATGTACCAAAAAAAGAAGCATAGGTTGATGTTGGAAGAGAAAATATGTAAATAAAAATATTAATTTTTTTAATGGTGTTATCTTTATTAGTTTTCAAATAAAAATGTTAATTCTCAAATATTTTTAATTTAAAAATATTTATTTTTAATATTTTTTATTT